TCTAGTACCAGTATTTTGAATCATAACAATACAGTCCTGGCACCAGTATCTTAAATGTAACGTTAACTCATTAAGGCTTATAGAAGTCAGAGGTTTTGCTAGTTTCTTGAATTGAGGCAAATGTCTTAATTATCAGTTCATGTGTTTCCTTGCCAGTTAGGCTCAATAATTATTAATTCAGAATTTGCCAGTGATGGGTAATTTGACCTGGCTTTATACGAATTGTACAACTAAAATATTTGTTCTAGAAATACTCAGTAATTAAAATCATTTCCACCAGGTTCCTCCTATTTCTGTCAATGTACAACCTGTTACTTATCTGAAAGCTCTGCCTGTAAATTACTTTATCAATTATTTTTAGCCGGGCTTATTGCTCAAAGAGCAATTGCCGGCTTATGTGATCCTGTTCAAGACAGGATGTTAACCCCATAGTCGCCATTTTAAAGTTACGTGTAAAAATATAGTTCTTACTCTCAACCGCTTTTGAGATAATACAAACACTAAATAAAGCAACAAAAATAAAACGAAGTTTTATCTAAATAATCAAACATATTTAGTATCTTTGAAAACTTCAGTCTTAAGTCAAAGGACATAGTTCATTGGTGTAAGGAGTTTTGATAATCAGTGTTACATGTATCTTAGTTCTCTACACATACGAAGAAAAGCTGGAGAGGGATCCAGACTGGCCTGTTTGTTTACCTTCAGTTGCGGTACCAGATTAATTCTGATTCTGACAAAATCGGACAGTGGTATTAGGATAGAAACTCACTGTCAGTGTCTTATCATTTATATTGATAGATTTAAAACGATTTTTTCATCAGAATTTTAAATCTGATATTCTTTTTTTTTTTATCTGTAAATACAATATAAACGTATGATTCATGTAAGAAATTCATAATGATTCTACTCTGTAAATGAGCCCGGCTCTCTGTACTTTGATTTACTTTCATAGGGATGCCAAGCCTTAAAGTATTATCTGTACACAAGCTCACCTACTATTTTCACTCTACACGTAGGTCAAAAGCTCTACAGAGTTTATGTTACTTGTTTTAAAAAAATCTGACTCTAAACAAAATTTTCTGATTCTGATGGTGGTGACGGAGTACCTTACAACATTATCTGTACACAGACTGACCTGCTATTTTCACTCTCCACATTGGTGGCGACGCGATACCTCACTGTGTAGTAGCGGGTGTCCTGGACCATCTGATTGACACCCAGTGTGGTGTCGGTCCACATTAGGACGATTGTCGTGGAGGATAAAACTTGTGTCTTCAGGCCAACTGGTGGCATCAGGGGTAGAACTGACTCATGCACTGGAAAAGAACACAATACATTCAAAGTAATACCACACACTCAAAATAACACAACACACTCAAAGTTTATCTTGTGATATATATGTTGCAGTCAAAGAGGTTCTCCATTAAGAAAAACCCATCTCTACTTGTTTTTTTTCAAAGATAGCAGTAGAGCAACTAGAGATGATCTACTTTTATGTGTGCAACACTACTTGATTCTTTCGAGATGACCATAGATGCCTAACTCTAAGTGTTAACTCACTGTTATGTGGTATTTTAGGTGGTATCTTACCTGATTCTTTGGTGGTGGTGGCAGTGGTGTATCGGGGTGGTCCCTCTCCTTTGTTGTTTTTAGCTTTGACAGTTATCACATACTCTGATGAAGGCACTAAAATTATGTACACATAAACATTAATATTACTGACCCAATCATAGGAGAGGAAGCTTGAAGAAAATTGTCTGTTTAACCCTGAATACCACATTCCTCCATCCTCAACTTGCATGATAATATGAAACAATCAGATTCATTATGCCACCTAACAAAATACTTTAATATTTTATTATAATTTTCTGTTGTTCATAACATAAACATTAATGTAATACAGTAAAACTCTGTTATAACAAAGTCACTGGGACCAGTGAAATTCCTTCACTATATCCATAATTCGTTATATCCATAAAAGGAACTCAAATTTGTATAGCTGGGGATACAAGATAACTTCGCTCTATCCATGAATTCGCACTATCCGTGTTCATACTATGAGTTTTATTGTAGATATGCCATTAATCAAATTAAATCATTCTGTCATTTAATTTATTGAAAAGTAATGGTAATGATATGTATACTTACGGAGATCTTTAATGGTGAAGACGTGAGTCTCTGGCCCGAAGTGTCTCTTCTCTGTGTCTGGGACGCCCTTCCCCCACCCCAGTATGTACCCCCGGACCATGATCTTGGACTCGGGGGGAGGGGTGGACCAGGAGACACGTATAGAGGTGTCGTCTGTGGTCACGTGGACACGGCGAGGAGCATCTGGGACTTTAGACTCTGTCAAATCATTATAGAGTTTACATGACATAAATAAAATGTACGTCTAGTAGTATCTGTCTTTTGTGTGGTGATATTATATTCACAACAATTAATCTACACTGTATACATAAACCATCTATTATTTTTGTGTGAGGAACATCATCTAGTTCTACGACCTACTTTAAAATCACAAAATGTATATAAATTGCCACCAAAAAAAAAATATTTTGCTTTGTATTTGTAAGGATATGTTTCCTCAGTCACAAAAATTAGATGTTGCAGATTGATTTAAAACTTACAAATCATAAATAAAGGATGACACATATATAACTGTTGGTTTACATTTTTATAGGAATTATGAAATGTGGTGATAAAACATGGTTACAGATAATTTCAAAAATTAGGAAATCAATTTAAACAAATCAAAATTAAATCTTTTAGGTATGACAGTTCAATCTTTTATGCTTATTGAATTTAGTAGATAATTTTACATATTCAATCTGAAACACAATTTTTTTTAAAAATCTATAACTTATGAATTGACATGTATCCATGGTAACTATAAAGGTCTGTCTACTCACCGTCCAGGTCGTCTTTATACGTGGTGGCCCACAGTTTCTGGGTCAGTGGCCCGCTCCCGTTAACAGTAAGCGCCGAGATCCGCACCTGATATTCTGTGTCTTTCTCCAGATTGGTCAGAGCGTACAGTCGTCGGTTTCCGTCAGTGGTGACCGTAGCTCCGTTCCTGGATGCCCCCCTCGTCTTGTAGCGGATTTTGTATCCCGTTATGATTCCGTTCTGATGATCGGCGGGGGGTGGATCCCATCTCACAATCAGTGACTGGAAAAAGGGAGATTTATGAGCTAAATTTAATATATAAATACACAAATGTCTATACAACAATTCAATTTATAATATTCCTGCCCTTATAAATTATAGCAAAACCTTATCTACATACATTGAGAGACGAATCTAAATAATTATGTAGAATTTGATAGGATTCAAATTCTGTAAATTCCTCTTTTTTCACGAGTACTTATTATCGCAAAATGAATCTATAATGTTAAATCACAAGGATAATTATTTGCAAATGGACAATTGATCAATAGAATTAACATGGATTTTAGCACTACAAGAATAAAAGCGAGAAATTTCATTTCATGTGTGAAATGAAAAGAGTGATGCTTCTTGCGAAATTAAGCAAAAATTTATTCCTCGTGTATAATTAGGGATCTACAATACTGTAGTATAGTGTGCAGATCAAAAAAATGAGTAAGTTAGAATAAAAGTGAACTTCACAATTCCCAGTGAAATGGATAATCCAGCATTATATTATACAGTTTTCACAGTATAAATATGATAACCTACCGTGGAACTTGCCGTCTCTAGTGTGGCGTTCTGTGGCGGCTCTGAAGGTTTGTCTGAGAACGTTTTGGCCGAGATTTCCCGGGTACTCATGCCCTCGCCGTTCTCATTGACAGCCACAATGTGGAATGTGTACTCCCTAAACGCCATCAACCCTACAATACACAATGTGAAACATGTACCTTCTAAAGGCTGTCAACCCTAAGTAAGATTGAGAAGTTATCACGAAATTTCCTATTTATCGATCTGTATAACATATAAAGATAGTCCCTCATTGATCATGAATACGTGACAAAATCAAAATGACCCTACAATCATGAGACCGAGCATAAAGCAAGTGTGACAGGTCAATGCTTTCTCCTCCATGGCACCTGATCCCACCTCTGATGCTTTGACAGTCCCAATATTTACTAAGCTCCTAATTTGTCATTTCATAGTATGCTTGATTGCTTTGTTATATGTATCTCCCTATTTCATTTGAATGCTTACTGCCCCAGAATAAATTACTATAATTTCGTACCTCTGAGCAGTTTCTTGGTGTCTGTGACCTCGATCTGACTCGTGTGTGAGCTGGCCGCCTCTGAGAAGATCAGCAGATACTTGGTGATCTGTCCCTTAGGCTGGCGGGGCGGGTTCCAGGACACAAGGATAGAGCTGGGGGACTGAGGGATGGCCACCACATCAACAGCAGGGCTGGGTACCGCCACTGTAATGTAATAAAATGTGTACTACACACAATGAATCTGTCCCTAAATTTCTTTTGAGACTGGAAAGACTTTAGAGATGATCATACTGTCCCACTCACCATCTTTATCAGTGCGTACTGTAGTACGAGCGAAGTTACTGCTGAAGCCGTAGCTGTTAACAGTTCTCACTCGGAACTCGTAGTTTGTGTCTGGCTTCAGTCTTGGGATATTGGCCTCAGTGTGAGTCGTGTTCAGCATCCGTTCTCTGGAGAAATAAAAATTAACCACTTCTTACGTCTTTCATTTTTATCAAGGTTATAAATTAAAATTGTTTGGTTGATACATGTATATTTTCTAGCATTATGATTGAATGCACCTAAAATGTACATTTATATTCTATTAGTTCTAAATTAATTTACCTCTTTGCAAATCTTTTGGACATAAAAGTACTGTACGTGTACATAATTTGGCGTATTCAAAATTAAGCATAACCACTGGGTATGGATTTGTTGGCGTAATCATAAACTAGAACTGTCCAATAGGGACAAATACCCCCCGCTGGGTTTTTCAGAGAAGGTGCAAATTTTAAAATACTTTATGGATCTAGAGGTGTTCACAATTTATATACTTACAAAAATTTGCAGTGAAATATAATTGCTCACCATGTCTCTTAATGAATGAAACAAAGATGCAACCAAATGAAACATCAATACTACATGTAATACATTGTAATTCCATTGTAACATTTTTTTAAATTTTTCATTTTATTTTTTTTTTCTGCATTAAAAAAATATATTGCAATTATGTGTTATGTCACTCTGCAAACTGAATGTTGAAAAAAACCATTATACAAAATCAAATTAATCTTGATATATCAATTTGAAATGCATTTTGAAAATAAAGAGCTGGTCATCCAGTAATGAAGTGCTTTGACAGACAATAAATTACAATTAAGAGAATAAGAGAAGAGAGATCTTTAATTCTTGTGCCTTATTCCCTTGAGATTAGATAACACACACACACGCTTGATAAGAAATATGCCTTAACAACTTCCAACACCAAACTCATTAATTTATCTTTAACTGGATGCATGTCCAGTCATTATTCCCAAGAGACAAATGAAATTACATTATCTTCTGTGCAATGTAAAAACTGTTTTTAACACCTGGTGATGTTTCTTTTTTTAAAGTTTTTATGAGTAGTTTTAAGCTGTAGTATTTTTTAAGATATTCTAGATTCTATATCTCAAACCTTATACATGAGGCCAAAATGAACAAGTCATTAAAATAAAAAATTAAACCTGTAAAATGCAAAAAAAATTAACAAAAAGAGTTGAAAATTCCAGGTGCACACCTTCATATGGTGAATAATAAGTGTAAAAATTTTCAGATTAATCCTTGTAATAGTTTCTGAGAAATGGTCAGGACAAAACCACAAAATAAAAATGAAAAAACACCTGTAAACAGGGGTTCAAAATTTTTTTGTCATGGTCAAGTCCAGGACTTGAGGAGTAAATTTTAGGCAAGTCCGAGGAAGAAATTTCAGAGTCCATATTTACCTATATATCATTAAATTTATGTAACTTATAATTTATTTTCATTTGTTGCATTGAATGAATAAAGACTATATGTATTAATACAGTGGACCCTCATTTATCCGGACGGAGTCAATTTGTCCGGATATGTGAAGCATCCGGATATCTGAATCACAAGTTAAACAAGACAGAATGACATTTTAAAATTTCGTTCCGATGAAAAATCGTCCGGATACTGAAGCATCCGGATATCTGGCATCCGGATATCTGAAGGTCCACTGTATATGTTTTATTTTTCCTCCACAAACTGTCATATAGTCATACATGAGTATTTCAACACAATACCAGACTGATAGATTACTTGTACATTACAATAACTTTTACAAATACTCACTACTGAATAAACCATCTGTTACAATAAATAGAAATTAGAATGTGCTGTAAGTCACAGCTAAAACCGAAATTTAACAAACTCATTGCCGTTTGTCTTATAGGAGGAAACATGAGGAATTGCGTAAAAGCAAGAGTCTAACCGCAACGGAAAATAAAAAGACGGATTGTATTTTCGAAACGTTCGTAATGTTTTATGGGTATTTTAACGCCCACAAACCCACATTTTTACTTAATACATTTGAGAATTTGCTTTATTTTTAGCTTTACGATCATTTTTTAACTTATAAAAAAAGATAAACAAGAAACATAGCCAAGTCCCAGGACTTTGGCGAATTCTAAATGCCGAGTCCGGATCCGGAATTTGTTAGTCCGGGACGTCGGGCTTGAGGATTTTTGAACCCCTGTGTAAAATTCAAAATAATAATCGAAGCCAAGATGAAAATATCAAGTGCACAACTTCATATGGTGAATAATATGTGTACAAATTTTCAGACAAATCCTTCTAATAGTTTCTGAGTAATGGTCCGGACAAAATCTCGTCTACAGACAGACAGACAGCTAGACAGACAGACAGCTGTACAGTTGAGAGGTACATTGTGCATTTTACGGAAGGTGCGGGGTTATCATTTTGCTTTGTGGGGTTATTAATAGTAGAGTGGTGACTTGAGAGGTTTCATTAGGAATTCAAACAAATGGTATATTGTGGGGTTAAAGGTCTATATTTGTGGGGTTAAAGATCTATGTTTGTGGGGTTAAAGATCTATGTTTGTGGGGTTAAAAATTAATTATTTAATATCAAGTCAACTTCACAGGCAACTAATTATAAGTACTTAAAATTGTTGCTGTTTATCAGAAGAACTTAGAACGGATATAGCAATAACATTTTTCAACTACTGCATAGCAGTAACAATGCAAAAAAATGTTTTTATTTGAGGATAACTGTTGCATCAAAGTAAATTAACCCATCATGTTTTCACATGAAGATGATAGACAAGAATATCCCAGAAGTGTTAAACAAACAACCCCACTATGCTATATAGATATAACAGACAACACTAACCCCATAAATTATAAGACAAACAACCCCAGTATGTACTCTTAAAAAGATAATAGACAACACTAACCCCATTAAGCGTTTGGACAGCAACCCCACTATGTACTCTCATAAAGATAATAGACAACACTAACCCCATAAAGTGTTTGGACTGCAACCCCACTATGTACTCTCATAAAGATAATAGAAAACACTAACCCCATAAAGTGTTTGGACAGCAACCCCACTATGTACTCTCATAAAGATACTAGACAACACTAACCCCATTAAGCGTTTGGACAGCAACCCCACTATGTACTCTCATAAAGATAATAGACAACACTAACCCCATAAAGTGTTTGGACAGCAACCCCACTATGTACTCTCATAAAGATAATAGACAACACTAACCCCATAAAGTGTTTGGACAGCAACCCCACTATGTACTCTCATAAAGATAATAGACAACACTAACCCCATAAAGTGTTTGGACAGCAACCCCACTATGTACTCTCATAAAGATAATAGACAACACTAACCCCATAAAGTGTTTGGACAGCAACCCCACTATGTACTCTCATAAAGATAATAGACAACACTAACCCCATTAAGCGTTTGGACAGCAACCCCACTATGTACTGTTATAAAGATAATAGACAACACTAACCCCATAAAGTGTTAGGACAACAACCCCACTAAGTACTCTTATAAAGATAATAGACAACACTAACCCCATAAAGTGTTTGGACAGCAACCCCACAATGTACTCTCATAAAGATAACAGACAACATTAACCCCATAAAGTGTTTGGATAGCAACCCCACTATGTACTCTCATAAAGATAGTAGGCAACACTAACCCCATAAAGTGTTAGGACAACAACCCCACTATGTACTCTCATAAAGATAATAGACAACACTAACCCCTTAACGTGTAACAACCCCATTATGTTCTTATATAGATAAAAGATAACATTAACCCCACAAAGTGTTAGACAAGAACCACAATATGTTCTGATAGAAAATATCAGACATCTTAGTAACCTCAGAGTGTTAAACAAACAACCCCGCTGTGTTCTCATGTAACAGATACCAGTAACCATATGAATTTAAGTGTTTGAAAACCCCAAGTATGTTCTAATATCAAAAAACTCTACCAGGGACTGGTAATAAAAGAACAAGTACCCCCACTATGTTTAATCGCAACTTCTCGAGCCTTTCTGACTAGCTGACAAACGACCTCGAATGTATTAGTTAGACGCCATGGCAACAACCCCCCCCCTTTCGTGATCTTCGAAATAAATGCATGAAGACCTTTTATCTGTGGAATACGGAGTTTAACTTTATTCAATGCTATGATATTACATAAAATATACTATAAAAGGGACTTCTTAATTCCTCTATCCTATATTTGAAAAAAAACAAGAAAAGCAAAACCTTTAACATCAGGTGATGTTAATACATTCGAGGTTGTTTTTCCAAACTCTGACGGAAAGACCCTGAGTGAGATGATGCGATTGCCAGTACGTCATATCCTTTTTTTTTAACTATTAAAAATACCAAACAATACTCATAATACTTTTTCCTATTTTGATAACATACTCGAAAATTTGTTTTAAATATTTTTCAAACTATTTTAAATTGGATAATCTCTTTATCTTTACTGCTTATTTCTAATGATAATTTTCCTTTGAATCTGCTGGTGCATGAATTTGAAGTGTACATTATGCATCAAAAGCATACATAATTTCATTGTAAATTAATAATAATAAATAAAAGAGATGATCCTGATTTTTAAAAAAAAATTTAATCAAACTTTTCAGTTACTCGACAAGTTGAACACAGATAAGAAACATGTCAATAAATGTAGAACACAGAAAAAAAAAACCTCAAAATTTGAGACAATCTTCATAGATGTAAAAAAAAACCAAGTATATAGTGAGTTGTCAAATAACTCTAAAAATTGCATGTTATTGCTACTTATTTTAAACAAAATATATTAATTAAAATGAAGTTTTAAGAAAAAAAAGTGTAGTCTAATATCTCATCATTTTGCATTTTAAAATTGATCATAAAACAAAAATAACGATGTACATCCTTTTGGAAAATATACTCAAACTTAGAGCTGCACCCCCACTCCCATCCCCTAAAATAAAATCAAAAAAAAAAAAAAAACAACATGCAATTGATTTATAATTTTCAAAAAATTAAAATCAAACAACATAAATGTACATTTCAGTTTAATAATTATTTCTCACATTTAAAATGAGATCGCTGATTAAAAAAGACGAAAACTATGACTGTTA